TCTTCTTCATCCAAGTCCATGTCATCATCCTCATCCTCCTTTTTCTTCTTCAGTTTTCTGAGCTTCTCATCACGAGCTTGTTTAGCCATGGTTTTGGCTCGATATCCACGACGTCCAGCGATACACAGCAAGGTCTCGCTAACTTGACGGGCAACATCACCGATAAAGGTTTCCCCTAGTCGCTGGATCACTTGCAATAAAGCTTCTCCAAACCGCAGCCGAACATCCGTAGTAGACTTTTCCTGTGGGTCTAAATAGTGGTCTAGAAGCTCTTGAACTGCCGATTTAGGATGTTTGTTGGCCAGCTGAGTATAAACTTTGATGACTCGAAGGTTTATGTAGTCGTCGTTGTTCTCGAGTAGGGTCGACAAAAGCACGGCAACTGCAGGGATGTCGAGGATTGGGCTGTCTTTAAGTATCAGACCAGAAAGCAGGTTCAACCCTTCAGACACGATGGGTGCTGGATTGTCTTCGCCCCCGGTGACATATTCCATGGCCAGTTTATATGTCCTCTGATCTTCAATCTGCCGGGTGCTGGGGGCCGAGGCAGAGACATCATCCTGCTCCATTTCGTCTCGATACTTGAGAAGCAGCGCTAGGTTCCTTGCTGTAGGTGACAATTGTGGCCTGTCTTCATTGCTCAATCGTTCCAGTGAACTCTCTACAATTTTGAGCCCTTCTGGTTTAATGTGGGATTTCTGGAATGTCGGCGCAGTGATGACCAGATTCAGTAAGCTTAGTACCACAGCGAGTAAGTCATCTGCTAGCTTTGACTTAGTATCTGCAGCAAGAACTTCGCATACCAACTCTAGCAGCTGATCAAACTGGCTCACGAGCTTTTCTGGAGCCTTGTCCATCAGCTTTTGTAGAATAGTGACCTCGAAAAGATTTTGCAGAGGTGAATCTGCCTTTTCATCCTTAGGACGCAGATCAATTTTGATCTCGTCATTTGTTTTTTCTGCTGTTTCAATGCAGCGCTTTAGGAGGCTCAAGAAGATGGATGATACCTCTGTAACCGAGCACGATGAGGTTATGAACTCAACCAGCTTGGCTGCTTTGCCTTCGAGTTCGTTCCAGTTCAGCTCAATGCCTGAGGTTGAATCAAGTCCACGAGGTTCTGTGATCTCAATATCGCCTTTACCTTTGAGTCGATACTCCCAAGGGCTTTGACTTCCTTCTGTGGCGCCTCTGCAGAGGAGGTTTCGAACGAATGGTCTGACACTTTCGGAATTACCGAATATCCTCAGATAGGCCTGCAGCAGTGCCCTCGCAGGCTTGACGAAGTTCTCTTCGGTACTAGGTGGTGGGTTTTGCCACGAGGCGAGAGCCCATATCTGTACCAATACTAGCCTAAGGAGACGTCGGCAAAGCCCGGGTGAAGAATTGGATATCACCAGAGTCATGAGGCGCTGTAGCGAGGTTTTGAGAGACTGAGAGGTGGTGAGAACACGATCACAGCTAAGATCGACAATTCCCTCGTTTTCTTGCTTAATAGCAGTGGAATCAGGGTTGCCCATCGACCGTAATGTTGGGTTTATATCCTGGACTAGAGGCTGAACAAATGCATTCCAACCGGGAGATCCTAACTCTGAGTTAGTCTTGCTTATAGAGATTGTCTGTTGTTACTCACCTGGTGCACCATATTGCTTGTTCCCCAATACGCCATAGCCTACGATCTGAGAAGCGGTTTTCGCGAGTTCAGGACCAGCAGTTCCATCGATGAGCTCAAATAGCTGTCCTGAGATGCCCTCGAACCACGCTTCCGCTGTCGTACTGGTCGGAACTGATGAGAGGAGTTTCGTTGCAACGGCGACACCTTCATGTGTTATGCTAGCTCCTTGCTTTTGTGGTCCAGCTTTTGCGTCTTGGGTTCTACCAACATTACTAGGGTGTACTGAGAAGACGAATTCCATGGTTCCACGGACGCCAGTTGGGCGTAGAGGGAGGAGGGTGAGGGTCTGGACTAGAGGATCCCTTAACCATTGTGGGAGAACTGATGGCTTAATGAGTGTATTTAGAGCAGGCAGGAGTTTCCAGACTGGTGTTCTTGTAGTTTGTTAGTGCCCTGATATTGAAGTAAGTAGTTTCATAATAGAGTTGGAGCTCACCTTTCGATGAGTTTGTCGAATGCTCGGAGGCCCGATTCCCGAGTGCTGGCATCATTTGTTGGATCAAAAGCTTTTTTACCAGCTTCAACTATCTCTTCAAGTATTTTCGGGTGTGCAGCAGTAGAAGATGAAGAGCTTGCCATGCTGCGTTAAAAATTAATAACGAGCTTCAAAAACTTGCGTGGGTAGGTGAGGTATGTATGTTGGAAACAAGAAAAAGTGAATTGCTATAGGGTGTTTGTCATCATGATCCAAGAGCTCCCTTCATGTGCGCCCCACACTGTATGCACCGTGAAGAGGCTGGAGCCGTCACGTGCAGGCGTGTTTGCAGTGGAGGCCCACATATCTCATCGCGTCTATGTCTCAGTGTGTTGAACTCGACTTTCTCAGTCAACAACCACTTCATGACGCTGTTCAGTTTCTCGGATTCTCTACTGGAGACGCGACACCCGCCAAAAGATATGATTCATACGGATCAGCTTTCCGAGGCTCCCGACGCGGTCAAGACGAGTTCCTTCACTACTATCAACACGCGCGACGCCTCCCCCACAGTCCTCCGGTCCTCGTTTCTCGCAAGGGATCCTATTGTAGGCACCCGTATCATTTGGTTACCCGCACATATGTCGCTCTCGAGCCTGTAACAGGACCTCGTGAATGCCGCAGCCGGATTATGGTGGGTAGCGCGTCCTGTGTAGGATGTACCAAGCGGGCGGGTGAACGAGGTTCGGAACTTAACCCTAAGAAGATATCTGGTTATCAAGTTTTGCGCTCTTGTCGCCCAAGTCGTCTTTTATGCCGGTGAAGCACCAGCTGTCATGATGCCCGCTGAAAAGTTGGATGATTGACTCGTGGCGCTACTGCCGACGGACAGGCGAGGAGGGCAGTCCAGTCACCATTTGGTGCGCGAGAGGATCGGTGCCATGAGTCGTTTGGTAAGAGCCTCTGGTCCGAGGACGCTCGTCAGCCCTTTCCGCTGGAACCAGCACATTGGTCAAGAGTAGACCGTCTAGTCATTGTGATTAGCTCTGGGTCTTGGGGATGGAACTAGTCTGACCACTTGTTCATACTGCTAGCCTGCTCATTGCGCCCAAGCAGCTGAGAAGTGGAGCTTCGGTTTGGCCTTCAAACAGCCAGTCACTGAATTTCATTCATGTCCCGAGTTTTCGCTTGCCGGAACCGCCAGTCAGGGTAATTCCATCTGGTGCAGTGGGCAACTCGTGGAAACACACAGAAATCCAGCGACTGACATATCTTGCCAATCGTATAGCTCCCGGTCCTTCACAGCTGCTCGTGGCATGGTGCGTTGCTGCACTACATATCTCCTAACCCGTTCGCACACTGGACCACACCACAGCACTTGCTACCGGTGTGTGACGCTCCGCGTCTGGTCTGACCAAGCGCATTAACCTCCAGCCATGGGTCACAATCCCTTGGTCATGATGGGCGCCAGCAAGCCTGCAAGGATCAGAAGGTCTGAACAGGTCCCTCAGATCCGCCGAAAGGTTGAACTGAGATGAAAGGGTGGTTTTTATGGATGTCTTTTGTCCACCCGTCAAAGCCCTCCATACCTCTCGCTGGCGAGAAATTTGGAGAGGAATCAAAAACTAGTCCTAGTTGGCAGCGCGAATCATACAGAAGGAGCTCTCTCGTCAGTGTCGGTGGGTTTTCAGACTGCGTTCTGCCATGGTAACCTTTTGGTGGAGTCGTGTTTACGAAGGTACTGGGGTCATTATGGGATCGTCAGCTCACGAAACAGTCTTCACCTTTGCAATGGCCATTGTTGCAGGAGGATACTTGCGGTTGGTGTTGGAAGCATCACCGGGACCCATCTCGAGTTGGAGTCAAAGTTTCGTGCTTGTCTGGTGCTGTGAAAGACCCTTTTGTCAAGTTGAATTTCACGACTCTGGCCGCACTGTTGAGGCTGGGTTGCATTGTTGGATCTAGGACAGGCCTTGTTGGGTAGGGTAGTCCTGGCTGTTCTCTCGCCTGAAAATGGTGTGGAGGACAGCCCCCCGCGGTGAGGGGATAAGTCTACCCATTCTTTCTGTTGATTGGACAAGTGCTAATATTCAGACAGGACCAGAGCAATCTAGATACACTAGCTGCCATGTTTGGGGACAAGTCTTTCCAGGTAAGTTCAAGATCTAAAGTCAATCGTTGTGTGGGGAAGTTGGAAGATCGGCATTCGGATCCGACGGATCGGAGAATTAGTGTCGTGATGTCATGAATGCCAAGATTTGCCAACGTCCGCGTTTCTTCGGCAGCAAATCAGAACTAATAAAACACTCGTCGTAAACTTTATGCATCTGTAACAAATGATCTGCGACAGATTTGGAGTGTGTGGGTTGCTCTAAGAAGCTTGCTTCCATCCTGGTGGTGTTACACGAGTGCTGACAAGGAAATGAGGAAGGAAAAAAAGACGCATCAACTGGTGCTTCTCTGCACGAAGATGCCATTGTAAACATCGTAAAAACTCTAAAGAACTATAAAATAATAGACTTGACTCGCATCGTGTTTATCAACTTGTCCAAGAAATGTAAATAAATTTGTAAGTATTATAACGAGAAGGACCAAGTTTGTCTACCTAGTTCTATGTTTTTCTTTACCCCCAAAGCTTGCTTACTGAGCCAGCCAATAGGAAATATCCGATGACTGAGATACCTGGTTGCTGGTGATGTCACATAATGCAGGAACCTGCTCCCCATGTCTGAGCTGATGATAGGTACTAACCAACTAAACAAAAACAAGATTGCCCCTGCTACCTACCTACCTAAGCTTACCAGGTCCGCTTACTCCTCATAAATTATTCCCTCCCTTCACTTGTTCTCTGGTGTCTTGGCTCTCTGTTCTCACGCTACTCTTCGAAAGCCAAGACTTCAAGACATATCCATCATGGTGAAAGCAGCATTCTTGGGCTTACTGCCCGCCGTTATGGCCATCCCAGCAGCCGCTCCCGGTCCCGCACCAACGGTTTATCGTAGAGAGGCAATTCCAGTTCCAGCTGCTCAGCCTACGCAGATTATGGACCTCGAGCGACGTGATATCATTGGCGATGTGGAGACTTATGTCGGAAGTCTCGTTAGTGGTGTTGAGACAAAGATCAAGGGATGGGTCAATTCAGGCATTCTCGACTTTCCAACTGGTTTCCCTACAGGCGATGCTGTTAAGAAGTCAGCAGGTGTCGACGACGATGATTTGAAAGCCGAGCCAACACAGGTTCTAAATATTCCGTAAGTAGCCTCATTCACTACGAGAACCACCCTAACTAGGAGACAGCCCATACGGCAATTGGACCAACAAGGGTTGGAACGTTCGAGTGCATGGCAATGTTTACAAGATCCCCAACCTGAGCCAGGAGAAAGTCGACGACCTCGCCAATGTCTTCCTCATCGACACGAGTGTTGACAAACTGTCTAAGTCTCAGCAAGCTCAGGCTCGAAATGTGACAAGGTCTATCTTTGTGGTGCAACAGGACAACGTTGAGGTCAAGATGAACTTTGTGAACAATGTTGATGTGTCTCCCGATGAGAGCGGTGGTGCAATTGATGCGGTAAGCCAAACAAAACAAAGTAGAAACATGGAACCAGTTGCTGACCATGTATCAGAGGGGGGGTTCGCAAAACATCACCATGCCATACAACACAACTCTGGAGGGCGACTTTGACGCATTTGTCGTGCTTAAGAACACCACAGGCCCCAACAATGGCTATCTGATCCCCGGCAACGAAACCTCGAAGATCCAGACCCTCAATGTTTATGCCGAGGGTAAGAACAACAGCGGAAACGCAACCGCTTACCTCGTACCACCCAAGGGTATCACTATTGTCTCTGACATCGACGATATTCTGCGAGTGACAAAGATTTACGAGCCAAAAGAGGGTCTTCTCAACACTTTTGCTCGACCCTTCACTCCATGGATGAACATGCCCGATATTTACGCCAACTGGTCGTCTTCAGTGAAGGACTTGCACTTCCACTATCTCACTACGACACCTGAGCAGGCCACTCGTAACTACATGAGCTTCATCTACAACACTTACCCACTGGGCTCATTCGATACCCGTCCACTGAACTTCTCAGACGTGTCGGCGACACTGTCCATCCGTCGCTTCTTGCTCGATAAGGTCTTCCAGACCTTCCCTGATCGCAAGTTCATCCTTGTGGCCGACACGAGCAACTCAGACGTAATGAAGGACTACCCAGCGATGTACAAGGACTATCCTGGTCAAGTGCAGTGCATCCTTCTGCGCAACACTAGCTCCACTGACAGCGGTGACAAGTTCCCGTATAATACCAAGGGCTTCAAGGACATTCCTCAGAAGAACTACATGTTCTTCCACGTGCCTGACGATATCGCCAAGATTGACATCGCCAACGGCGGGTGCTACAACAGCTCTATCAAGCAGAACGTTACTTTTGACTACCAGGGCCTTCCTTTTGGCTTGAGCGACGACGATAATGCCGCTACGGGTGTTACACCTAGGTTAGGAATGATTGTTGCGGGATTGATCGCTGCTAGTTTGGCGATGATGGTTTAGTAGAATTAGAGTGCATTATTCCTGGGTATCATGACATCAGACTGCAACATACTAGGTTAGTAGTTACGAGCATAATGATTACGTTGAATTCCTCATGACAAACCTCACTCCTATCCCCAGACGCTATATTCGGAGGAGACGAACTCTTTTTCATGAGAGAATCATGATCTCAAGGGTCAACAAGTCTGTTGCCGACAGAATACTCTATAATTTGGTGATCACAGCACCCAAACTTTTACCGTGACATGACATTTGTCTCCTCCATTTTCACAAACCGTGCGTGTTCTTTCATAATCACGTATCCAATTACGTCAACCGGAATACATTCCGTTCAACGGCACACGAGTAATCTTTCGGAACTTGTCCACCCAAAGGAAGCTATAAAATTCAACGTCCAGCTGAGATATCGTATGACAACGGCCCTCTGCCGCATAGATCGTATGAACACCATCCCAGGCTCTTGGATATGAGCATCTCGTTGCGGAAAATAATCTCCTGTGTTTTGAGAGGATTATCCGGCACTCCGTGCATTGTGACCTGTCGTATCATGGTTCAAGCAACGAATATGCACTCTGACTCCACTACGGTACTTGGAACTTCTAGGGTTGAAGGATTCCATACAACTGTCAAAGCTTATTGCGAATAGGCACACACTCTCTTGAGTTGTTGACGAGGAAGATGTTCCGTACGAGAATGGCGGGCCCCGACTCCAAAAGAGATGAAATGGTCAGACAGCACATGCTCTAAATCACCAAGACAAGCCACTTAATACTAAATACGTTAGTAGCTGCACTTGACTGATTCATGAACTGTTGGTTTGTTCCTGGCTGTGGTCACGTCTGTATGACCCCAAGTGAGGTCTGCAGTAATTCTCTCAATCGTTCCATTCCGCTTCTGGAACGGGGATGTTGTTTGTGCCATGACGCTTCTACCACTGGCACTAAGCTATGGATAATGGGCTGATGCAGGGTTCTGAAGGTGCTGTATCCATAGCGCGTAGAATCCTCGCGAGATCTCGCAGGCATCTTTCGCATACCGAGCGTCGCACTGTAAGAGGATAAGAGGAGACAAGGTTCACGCCAAGACCAGGGATGGCTGTGTTATTTATTCTCTCTTTCTAAAGTTCCGGCATATAACGGATCTTCCAAGGAGGCCAAGTCAGATGCTCAATTGGGACACTTCTGCGAGGCTGAGAGTGGTCATCGGCCTTTAGAGCTGTGATTCAAATTGAGGAATTGCCCAATAGGATCTCAATTGATACCCGCGCAGCGCAGCTGAGACATTGAGGCTACCTAGTCGTCAATCTTAGCGAGGTGTGAGGTGTGTGTAAGCTATTTCTAGAAGGGAGTCTAGGGAGTCTACACATGATACAACGGCATCCTTTAGAAGTTGAACTAAAGACTCATGGCTGAATGGACGGAAGCTTCCAAAGGGCCCTAGACCTTGAAAACCCATACTAAAGACTGGTCAAGTTTTACGGGCGCTACTCCGTAGTGGAGACTGTTTTCCCCTGATCAGCCAGTTGACAGCGGCTCATATCCTATTTGATAATGGTGCTGTGGATGTTGAAATGGAAGCACTAATCCGTAGCTGCCGTGTCTGTCTCTTGCCAATTGAGCATGTTCCTGGACCACAGACTGCTCATTCAGGCCGGAAAGAACGGAGACCTACAGGTGAGTCCCCGCCTGAGCTCTTTCTTGATTCAAACATTTTCTGGGCTGCTCTGGCCCCATTGGATTGGATTAGAAAGCAAGGGTACATGAAGATGACTGTTCACTTGTCATTATTCGTATTCCCCACTCCCGCTGTCGCATCCAGAAGCCACAATCCCAATCTCTTCAATCTCACTCAGACTTCTCCACTACTGCCGCTAGTTACTGAAGAGAAAACAATGCTAGAAGCAGATACATTCATCCGCGGTCAATTCGAAACAAGCCGCATGCTTAGCACGGCATTCTGCACCTCGAACCGCGTCTCTGTGGCTACGCGGTTTGTCTGTCCGTGCAAAACGTACTGCACCTCCGTCGTTCTGGGATACTGACGATCCGCAAACTGCGGGAGTAAGCGAGGCCGGAAGTCTGTTCTAAAACAAACCGTCTTTCAATGGCGTCAAATTACTTCATCACTGAAACTCAACTAATCCTCTGCTAATTGCAGGGACAACTGGTAGCTCAGCCTTGATGGTCCCCCAACTACAGTTACTGGCACCACCCTCACAAGATGCAGGCACGTGGAGATGGTGGAAACCGTTGCACTTGGCCCCTTTCGAGAAAAGTTTACCGTTTGAAGAGCACAAACGCCATTCAAGCCTTTTCGCGAAGTCAAGTGCTACCACGGGTCTAGCAGAAACGCCTCGTTCAGCTGCGGCTCCAAGCCTTTCAACAACCAACATCGTTCTTGACCCTCTTCGGCCCACAACCAATTGCGGCTCCCGTGATGGCCATTGCTATTCAAGTTGGTTTGATAATAGAGCTTAGGTAGACTCGTGCGCCTTGTTGGACAATCTCTATCGGTGGGGCACCTCATCCCGAAACAAACAACGACTGACTGATAAGTCCTGCAGCCAGACAAGGATCATCAGACGAGCTCTCTTTCCGAGGCACGCCACATCTCACGACCTAGCCCTGGCCTCCGCGCCTTGATCTAATTCCTTGACATGATTTCGTGTGCCTAGAACTCATTACTGACCCGCCCAGCAGCAGGTCGACCACAACCAATGCTCCCTGAGCATCACATCACATGTCGTGTGCGTTTTTAGCAGATGATTAATCGAAACAAAATGAGATCAAAAACTGCCTCGCCTTTTCCACGAAGGAAGAGGTCAGAAATCAATTTCCCGGCTCCAGAACAGCCAAAAAGATAACAATTGTTGCCACCCAGTGAAACTCATTCGCGCCTGTTACATGATGATGTCCGAATAGAAAAAGAAGCCCAAAAATAATAGCAATTGCAGATTGGAGTCCCCCGTCTCCAGAAAGGTTCAACAGCGCATGGGTATCTCGCGGGGGTTTTGTTTGCTTGCGGTCTTGCTCCAGCCGCCAATCTCCCGCTCCATCCAATGTCGAGCGTCGCAGTCAGTCAAAAATCGTACACTGCATACGCCCAATGGCGCGTTGCAAACGGTCGTCGGCCGTGAGAGAGGCATGCCAACCTATCTCCCAGTTGCCGTCGGCACTCAATAGTCCAGTTCAGTCTTTACCCGTCGATAATTATTTCCAGCTCTGGCGTCCTCATGTCGCAATTGAAGAATCCCTCTCAGACGGCGACGCTCCTGTACCCCTCGAGGACACTACTCTTCTTAAAATCGATGATGTGCCATGATGCTCGGTATACCTGGCATAGTGCTTGTTACGGGAATTGAGGGTGGTGGCCGACTGGCCTTATCCCGAAGAGTCCAGTCGTCGCCAGGTTCTGAGGGAGCTACGAGCTCCATTAGAGTGTATTGAAGAATACCGTCGAGAACTTGTGGGACAACAATATCTCGAGACAGTCCCCATGGCGGTAATGAAGGTTCTTCGTTATCGCGCCCATCAGCCTGCAGCTGTCAGTCAGTACCAGCCGAATGAACTGATATGCAAAGGAAAATATGCCAACTTACAAGACATGATGCGCAAGGCGCATTATTCACCCAGACCCAGTTGGGGCAGTTATGTGTATAGAAGTACTTGCATCTGTACTTATAAAAACCACCAGCTCCACTCATTGTGCTGTTGATGTCCAAGATGTAAGAGACTTGTATGGCGTAGTGAGCAACGGATTGGACAAGGTAAGATGTGAATCAGTGGGCAGACGGATAATGGAATGCGAGGAAGAGGCATAGACTCTTATATGAGCTGCCAGGCAATAAGAGGAAGTGACGTGAATGCGATTATTAGCACGGGGAGTGGACTAGGCTGGGGAAAGGGTCGAACGATTTGTTTGTACTACCGCTGAAGTGCGGATGGCCAACATGTCAAGGATACCCAGGGCAGAGCGGAGCTCTATGTGGGAATGAGCTGGCATGATCAAAGGTGCGTAGTGTTTGCTCAACGGAGTACGACTTAGAGACTCGGACGCTGACGTCTTAGGGACAACTAAACTCGATGGGAATGGCCGTTGGCGTCGCAATGCCATTTTGCATGGCATTGACTGATGCCCCCCGCCGAACAAAACGATGCGATGTGGTGGGGACCACACCCGTAGTGATGACAGACAGGGAGCCCCTGTGAGTTCTGCAGGACGACTGCAGACGCCTTTTACAAGCGACGAGCAGACATGACTTGGGTACGGGCAGGCAAAACAACGTACATGATTCTAAAACGACGATAGAATGCGGCAACCAGCCAGAGATGGCTTGCTCTTGAATGGCCGGTCTTAAGGAGAAATCGACGGCATCAAGATCTTTCGTTACTACGCGCTCATACAACGGGGGAGGACGCCCAAGCGCTTTCAGAGCACAACTAGACAAATGTTAATCAGCATTAGTGGCATTCATGTGTTGCGGTTTCCGCCTCAATCTGCTGCTCCAGTACAGACAGTATGCGTCCATACTGAAAAGCGAAGTGATAGGATGGGTCGTCTCAGAAGCCATGTCGATAACTTGAACGGTTTGTGGTTCGTCGAGACGTGGGGCCATGGGACGAGAGCTATAAAGGGTGTAGCGTCCGGCGGAATGGCGTGAGGTTAGACCTGACAAGGGCGTGTATACTCATCTGGGGAAAGGACGTACTGTCTGTCATGGTCATATCCAATGATACCGAGCTCTTGCGCATCCCTCTCGGGGTTGACCTTACTTGAGACGATGCATGATGATTCCCCCCGTCTATGGTCCACGCCTAAGCCCCTAGGTCCACGGCAATCACAATTGCTCCAACGCCGCATACAGGACAGTACCAGGTCAGGGCAAGAAACCCTCAACAGGAATAGGGAGGGGCGTGCTGTTCATTGACGAATACCTATTGTAGTGTCTTCGGGCCAGCCGGCGCCACGACCTGAAGCCAAAGACCCGTAGTCAACGGTAGGCTTGCTGCGGTCATCCCATGCTACTACCATGTGTCGTGCCACATGAAGTACACAGGTAAAGATCCGATTGTCGGACGCGCAGTGGCATGGTTCAAAATCAAGCAGGCTATGTATAAAATTAATCTGACCTCACTCTGACCCTGTGGCTCTTCCAGGCAGGGACTTTGTGGGGAGGAGATCTCTGAGGCTGAAAAAGAAACATTCTTAGAACATCTTGGGATCGATGCCAATGCGGCTCAGCCCAGCATCTGGAATGGAAGGACGGGAAAAAGCAAAAAAAAAAAAAAACCGCTTTGCTTGTGAAGGGACGGGATCCACAAGCGCGTGGCGCCGCAGTTTGGCCTGTGGATATGCGAAGTATATCTCAACGTTCGGATACTGAGTATGCATACTTGCACATGCCGGCAATGTTGCCTTTTCTCTGAGAGCCTGTGCTGGGGAGGCCGAGAGCCAAGCTATCGGTGATACAAACTATCAAGGTTGCCGAAGAGCGAGACCAGAGCCAGAGCTTATTGCGACGAGGAGCTTCGGACATGGTGGGCTACCTATTCTGATATCATGAGATATTTGAGAAGCATCAGTCTTTACTCGATGAGATTACGACCCTACTCGGAGGTCTCGGGTCGCCCCGTGCTTTCATAACGTCCAGTTGAGCATCACCGATGACCTCGGGCGTCTCCATTCGCGGATCACACATTCTACCTCGGCCAATCCACACTCATTTGGACTCTATCAAGGCCATCTTCTCATTGAGGCAATTGTAATGTTGCGCGATAAACTACACCTTGGACGGGCGCGCAGAAGCAGCAGGATCCCGGGTTGGTCAGTCTTATCGCTGCGTTGCGTTGCGTTGCGTTACCACTAGACAGAAACTTAAAACGTTTCTCCCATTTGCACATATTGGGAAAACATCACAAACCGCGCAATATGCACAGTTGACAACGCGGTCCCCTTCGGGCAGCGCACCATCTTGTGATGCTTCTTCACCTGTGCGCCATCTTGCTTCTTCCGCCCCCCCCAAGTATGTTCCAGGTTGTGAACAGGGGCGAACGGCAAGGAGCTATGGCCTCCTCGGATAGGTTGCCATGATGCTCAACCACCCAGGAAGTGCCCTGCAGATACATACATACAGGTAATGCTCTCCATGCTTTATTCTCCGGTCGGCACTGTCGTCTGCTTGAAGCTCGAGCCCTTCCACTGCATTGCATTCTCGAAAAGGAAGAGAGCTGCTGGAGCTCCTGTCAGAGCATGTTGATTGATTGGACCACTTGTGAAGGTCTGAGCCGGGTAATTTGGTTGGCCCGTACGATGACACCCTGATATTCCAAACCACGCTGAGATACACGTGGTGTTTTGCATCAGCTTTTGTCACTGATTTGATATTGCTGGGTCATCCCTTGTTGGAGCAGTCTCAGTCATTATGATAACCCGATTGACTTTACCGGGTGAAATTGAGGGATGCTACAACGGCTCTTTCTCACCCCTGTCATCGGATAATGGTATTGAAACGGTCATGAACGGCTTTGGCGACCTAAAACAGGTATTGATCTCGTCGGTAGTCAGTAGGCGGGTACTGTATGTATGTATGGAAGCAAACTTCGAGGTGGAACCCAATGGTCAAGGTTGGTGGTATTATTTCCTTCTCATACGGTCTCCTCACCTCGTATATCTGCCCTTTCCTACACTCTGACTCTCATTCGCCGTGGGGCAGGCTGGCTGTGAGCAACAAGAACTCTTGAGAAGGGATCCGCACCCTCTGTGAAGACCCGGCCCTACCTATCTGCCTGTCCCACCGTATATCTGAAACAAACAGCCATCGCCGATTTTCCTTGGTTCATCACAGCACAATTGGACTCGTTCTCTTTTGGCAGCCTTCATTCCACCGTCGTTGGTGTCAAATTGTGGTAATGGGGCCAACATTGCGAATTTTCGAAGCCAAGCTGCAGGGTGAAAGCTACCTACTACTCTATCCATGATGTTTGTGCTGAAGTTGCTGGCGTTGCTTGTTTGTCAACCTAATCGGGGGGTTTCGAGGTTGATAATTGTTTCTCACCTATTTACATACACTTACACTTACTTGATTTGCCTTCTTTTCCCTTCTTTTTGCTTTTCCCATCGATCTCCCGTCTTGCCCGCCCGCCCGCCTCCATAACCGATGTCGATGAGGGGAGCCCTGCTAGCTTGGCCACTTTTATCGGCCCTGGTCGCCCACATCCAGAACGAGCAGGTATTGACACACACATCGTCATCCCAAGAGAGAAGGACGTGGGAGGTGAGAAAACCCTAGGAAAACTGGAGTTGGATGGCCGAACCAACATCCAGACTGCATCGTCAAGCGCGGCGAGACGGATATGCAGGCCACCCTCCCTCTGCAAGGATGCCTTGTTTGTGTTTGCATCAGAGAAGCTTCATCCTGACAGACACACATACATGCATACATACATACTCAGGCTATTCTGAGTCAAGCTTTGCTAGCAGCTAAGCTGATTGCCTAGCTGATTTGAGGCTGGGAGAAGAGGCAACAATGCAGTCAAGACAAACACTCCAGCAACCAGAAGAGGTGTCGTGCATGATGCTAAAGAAGCATGAATGCTGCAGAACTGCGCAAGTGCCTGGAATTCGTTGATATTGTTTCACCTAGTTTGAAATACGGCTGGTGCGCTAACAATAGTTCTCTCTGCCACAACCTTTATTCAGTCCCAATGTTATCTGTCGCCTCTTTCCTCTTTTTACCTCCACACAAGATACACACCAGTAAAACAACCCAAAAACGCCCGCATCCCTCCATTACACTCGCTCACACCCTCTTTTGGCAAATCTAACGGTGCTGCAGGATTCTAAGACCGAATAGGTAAAGTGAAAGAGACCAATGGACCAGACGGAGAGGGGCGCGCCGAGGGGGAGACATTGAAGCATGAAATACTGTTTTAAAAAAACAATTCAACCGAGCAGCCAACCATGAAAGAAGTGGCTGATGCACATAAAACGCCGTGGCCAACCAGTCAACTCGCGAGGATGTGCAACTCCAGGCCGGGATGAATAAGGGAGGGGAAGAGCTTTGTCGAGCTACATAGTAGACGACAAACAACACCTCTTCCCTACTCTCAATGACAAAAAAATGTTTGTGTCTCGCCGGCCCCATGCAATGCCGAGCCGCAGTGGAGGGCCGCTTCCCGCACATACATGGTAGGGCTAAGCATTGGATAAGCAAACAGGTCGATCGATCACGTTTCTAATCCCTGCCCATGCCTCTATTGTCGATTTCTAGGGGTCGCCTGGAGAGCCTTCCCTGGCCTTCCCTGGCCTTTTCTTTCAGGGGCTCCCGAAGTGAGTACTTCATCGACCAGCCTTCATGGCTTCCTTGCGGCGCTTCTTCTCTGCAGCGCGTGCAAGAGAACGCTTGACGTCACCTTGCTCAAAGCTGTCAATATCGTAGTACGTAGGGGCAATTTCCTGCAAAAAGTGTTAGTACTGTAAGATTGACCCAAGGTTCTCGTGATGAAACGAGAGTCATCTGGAAGTATCACTTACCAATAACCACTCAGGTCGGATACCTGTACATGTTCGAATGTATTGCTTGGACGTCAAGACAAACTCATTATAGAGGACCCAGTCGAACTCGGTACGGAGGACAGTTGAGGGGTGAATCAATACAGCCTGGTCGTCCTTGACAGTGCGATAAAGCTTGCCAGAGCTCTCCTTCATGGCAACCTGCATGAAGAAACCGGCGAGCAGTGCACGTCGAATGTTGGTATAGTAATTCTTATCCTCAAACGGTGTCGACACAAGCTCTAAGCCATGCGTCTCCATGATGCGCTTGAGCTGAGCGCGGACGTTATCCGCACTGGAGAGATGTCGGAAGGAGAGGAAGTGCTCATGGCACCACTGCTTTGCACTGTTAGGGTCGGATGTTGCCTGGCCCTTGAACGCGTGGTAGGCGTTGAGCAGGGTGAGGTGGTCACCGTCAGGATGCGCAAATTGAGCCTTCATCTCATCGGCGCGCTTTCGGTTGTTGGCAGGGCGGGTAAAGATTTGAGGAACTGAGAGAAGCGAGGTGATAGAGAGAATCTCGTTCGAGCAGTAGAACTCAGGAGACGAGATAAGCATGACCGCTAGAGCGGGATCAAGGGGGAATGCTGATGCCATGCTGCCGAGAGTGGTTAGCTCACCATCATCGTCAAGACAGGCAAGATAGTTGAGCTCCTCAAGGGCGCGCATCATTGTCTCGGGAGCAGGCGGATCCATTAGATCGAAGTGGACAAGATCCTCCACACCAAGCTTCTTGAGCTCCAGAACGGTGTTGGCAAGGTTGGAGCGCAGAATCTCGGGATATGTTTGCTCAATAAGCTCCTTCTTGAATGCCTTCTCGGTATACAGCCGGAAACATTTTCCGGGTTTGGTACGACCAGCACGACCAGCACGCTGCTGGGCCGAAGCCTTGGAGATGGGCGAGACAAGGAGAGACTCGACACGGATACGAGGGTTGTAGATCTTCTGTTTGCTAAACCCGGGATCCACGACATAGACGATACCGTCGATAGTCAAACTAGTTTCGGCAATATTGGTAGAAACAATGACCTTGCGACCAGGACGACCACCCTTGCGAATAGGCGCAGGGGCCTTGTCGAAGATGCGCTGTTGCTGGTGGGGAGGCAGGGTACCGTACAGAGGGTAAACGGCGAGAGGACCAGCGTCAACCTCGCGCATCAGCTCGTCAGCCTCGAGACTGATCTTGCGACAAGCGTCTTCAATCTCGTCTTCACCAGTAAGGAAAAGCAAAACATCACCCTCGGGCTCTGAAGCGTGAATCTGGAGAACGGTTCTTATGGCGGCCTCAACGTAATCGCGCTCAGGCTCGGGAGTGTAGAAGATCTCGACAGGATGTGTTCGACCGGGGACAGCGAGCAGGGGCGCATCGTTGAAGTACTTTTGGAACTTTTGAGCATCGAGGGTAGCAGACATGATGATGATCTTGAGGTCGGGGCGGCGCATAGAAATCTGCTTGAGCAGCGCCATGAGAATATCGGTCGCGAGAGTACGCTCGTGAGCCTCATCGAGAATAATACAACTGTAGCGAGACATCTCGTGGTCGTGCATGGCCTCACGCAGAAGCATACCATCAGTCATGTACTTGAGCATAGTCTTAGGGCCCGTCATGTCCTCGAAACGAATACTGTAACCAACTTCCTCGCCCAGGGTGACGTCCATCTCGTCGGCGACACGCTGCGCGACCGACATGGCGGCGACTCGACGTGGCTGCGTACAGGCGATAAGCTTGCCAGTAAGATGAGGTAGCTCGTCGTAGACGACGTACTGAGGAATTTGAGTAGTCTTTCCAGAACCTGTCTCACCAACAAAGACGAGAATCTGTGTTGAGTGGTACTTGTCCAAAAACTCTTGTCGTTGCTTGTGGACAGGCAGATCGCGACGGCCCTGGAGAATTTGGAAGTACTTTTGCGAATGAGGTCGGCCGGTGAAAGGGTTCGACTCAGAGTCCTCAGCCTTTGAGGCCTGTGCAGCGGTAGTATGCTGCCTCTTCATACCGGCGAGAGGAGAGTCCGGCGAAGGCTCTGCGCCATGACCATTGCTGTTACCGTTGTCGTACATGTGAGCAAGGTAGGGGTTGTATTTCTCGTCCTCGCCGTCCTTCTTGGCCTTCTTTCGCGTCGATTCGTCGGCGTCGGCGCTTGAACGCTTTCCTCCCTTGATGTCGGACATTATTTTCGGTGAATGACAGGGAGATGAGGTGAGAGAAAGTGGCGAGGCTGAAGCGGAAGGTCGTGGTGTTTTTGTTTTCAGCACTGCTAAATGCTGGAAAATTTTGGCGGGCCTTCTTAGGCAGATGTTTATCGATAAGCATCCTTGTCGCACAGTGTATGAGATATGCCTGTGCTACTGTGCTAGCTGGGTTATATGACGAGATGCAGCATATATGTATGCGTGTGCTTGTAACATCAGCCGTGACATAGAAATTACGGAACTATATGCGAGAATGAGATTGCACTGAGTTTGTCAACAGTTTTGCTATGGGGAGGCATTCCAAGGCATTTTACCAAACCTGAAGCTGTTTAGCTATACTGTTTGAACTCAGAATGGGCGCACACTGTGCATTTTCAGGGTCTTTGCGAAGATCAAGACTCTTTCTCTCGAGCTTGAAGCTTGAAACTCTAACTCGCAGGTTTCTGGGGAACCTTCTTGAATACAAACGACAGGAACAATCTCTCTATAGGCCACATCTTGATTCTTAGCAATTTTTGTCTACGATTTGTTTTCTCTCTATACTCTTCTCTTCGTCTCATATATCCCATCCCACCTGGCACAACTGAACGATCTGGCTTGGTTTGGCGGGGTGAATTTACTCCACCACCAGAAATCTCAACTTTATTTGCTGCTTCTCCCTGCAAACTCCAACAGCAAACACCGTCTCCTGACAAACTCTGAGCTACAATCATGGCTTCTGACGACGCAGGCTTCGAGATGTCTGACAACTTTGGTCTTCAACGTCCCACTTTTCATATTGGATACCACGACTCAAAACGCGATGAGCCCCTCACCGACATGCAGTATGGCCATCTGCTGAACCATGGTGTAAGTCGCAAGCATTCCGCGCCAGAGACCTCTATATTAGATATATAATATATGGCATATATTCGTGAGGATGCTCGGGGCCACCAATTGACTCTTGGATAGCTGGCCTTTGCGACGACTCCCATCACCAACACTCACTTCCGAGACCGTGTCTTCGCTCTTGTTTCTGAGCATCTGTCCGCTCTATCCGAAAATGGCGAGAAGCCTACCACCAGGGCAACTGGTTCACGAGCAGAGCCTATTCTGCCTCCCTTGACTCCTAAGGATACAGCTCTGTTCCCCAGCGCCGCTGTAAACACCTATACTGCAGTCATCAGCCCCTGGCTCGACCTTGGATCTTCTAATCCCATCATCTCAAGCATATCCCGTCAGGTCCTCAACGTCGAGATCAACTATGCCAACTTTTGTGGCGTAAGAAGCATCATGATTCCTGCCCCTCGACAGGATGCTTCCGTCGATGGCGGCAACCAAAGCCTTGCCCAATACGCACGAGCTGTAGAGGAGGCGCTGACTGTTGGAAACCGACTCACTTTCTTGATTCACATGCCTATGTATCGAGAACCTGGCCTTGATGCAGAGACAGCCAATATCTCTTCCCTTGATGTCAAGACCCCAACTAAGACCGAAGGAAGGGAGATCGATCTCCTGGCCGCTTGGGATTCGTGGCATCATGTCCGAAGTGTCTGTAACTACAACACTAGACTCTTTGTTGGTACGCTCACCTCAATCTCCTGGAATCCTTAATAAATGCTAACTTGATGCAAAGCTCTGCAAATTCCCCGTGTTATGCCCGAGAAGGATCTTCAGGATCGATGGTTTGCCGAGCCTCTGCACTACCTCACATTCAGCCCTGCGACTTTCCAGGCTAACAAGGCTGGTTTCCCATCGCTATCTAAGCACCACCAGGATCTCATATTCTCCTACATGCGATTGAAGAATGTCCCATGGATTCTGCTCTGCGACGTTGGCCCTGATGTTTCACAACTCAAGGATGGTCACCAGTCTCTGCCAACCGCTCAAAACGATTTCCCTAGCTTAGCCGAAGCTGAGGCTCAAGAACAGTCAACCCAGACCAAGAAAAACGACTATATTTCGTACCTGCGATGGCTCGAGGACCAGCAGCCACCCTTTGGCTATCTCGAGAGCCCAACCTTGACCAGCTTCCAAGACTGGCTTCAGTCACCTCTCCAGCCCCTGTCAGACAATCTCGAGTCAGCCACATATGAGGTCTTCGAGGGTGACCCCGTCAAGTATAGCCAGTACGAGATTGCCGTGTTTGAGGCCCTCACAGAATGGAAGGAACTCAAGAAACCCACCAAGGATGGCAAGGTCGTCGTTGCTGTTGCTGGTTCTGGTCGTGGCCCTCTCGTTACTCGAGCACTCAAGGCGTCTGAGGATGCTGGCGTTCCTATCGATATGTGGGCGGTTGAGAAGAACCCCAACGCCTATGTCTACCTTTTGCGCCAGAATGACCTCGTCTGGGGTGGCAAGGTCAAGGTTGTCAAGACCGATATGCGAGCATGGAAGGGTCCCATCGTCTCTGAGGACGAGAATGGACCTGTATATGGCAAGGTTGATATCCTCATCTCTGAGCTTCTTGGTTCATTCGGTGATAACGAGCTCTCTCCCGAATGTCTTGACGGAATCCAGCATGTCATGTCCACGCCACATGGAATCTCCATTCCCAGCTCTTACACTGCTCATCTGAGCCCCATCTCAACACCCAAGATCCACGCTGATATCCTCTCACGAGTGCCCGGAGACCCCAACGCTTTCGAGACACCTTGGGTTGTTCGCCTTTTTGCTCTCGACTTTGTTGCCGAGAAGGTGCCTAACAAGCCCAGATTTCAGGAAGCCTGGGAATTCTCTCACCCTATTCCCGAATCTTCACTTGCTGCCCTAGAGGCTAAGCGCTCTGGTGGCGTTGTGGGAGGCGGCGGCGGTAGCATGGCTGGTGCCGCAGGTGCCAATGACCACAATTCGCGATATACTCATCTCACATTTGTCTGCCGGACAAGGGGTGTCACTCACGGGTTGGCGGGCTACTTTGAGTCGACTCTATATGAGTCTCAAATTCCTGAAAACAAGGGAGAGAAGGTTGAAATCAGCACACATCCTGAGCGTATCGATGAGAAGAGCAAAGATATGATCTCTTGGTTCCCCATCTACTTCCCCCTGAAGGTAAGTTCCCTCCCCAGCAAGTATCAAAGCGTACTAACAGAATTGTAGAAACCTCTCTACTTCCCAGCTGATACGGAGCTCGAGGTTAGCATGTGGCGACAGACAGATGACACCAAGGTGTGGTATGAGTGGCTCGTCGAAGGTTTCACTTGGGTTAGCCCAACACGCCGTGTCAAGGTTGCTTCCTCAGATCTGTGCAGCAGTCGCCAAGTGGCATGCTTGATGTAGACGGATGACCTAGATCACGATGAGAAGGACTGGCTGGGATAAGCGATGTGACGAAAGAAAAGTTTTGCTTAAGAGTTTGGAAAGGCTACAGGTCTTAGGGTTTGGAGACAGCTGTCGCTTGAATTGTCAATTGGCTGTAGCCTGGATACAATCTGACTGTCAGCCATATGATGGTTCACTCTTAGAGGAAATCACATAGAATTTTGAAGACCGCTATGAAGCTGGAAAGATACCCTTAGCTTTGAATGTCTACATCGGCTGTCCTTGTGATGGAGTAACACGCGATCGACTGGCGTATTGCGATTCATGTTATTGCTCTGTTGACTATAGTACTATATAAAACAACACTGAAGATCATCTTGATATATGTGATGAGCATTGAGACATGCCGTCCATCTGCCATGGTCTTTGTTGTTGGTCTGTTCACATGCCATGTCATGTTCCACTAGACCGAGCTTCAATTGAAGTCGATGTCGGCCAACTTCCGATCAATGCACATGCTTTGTCCCACCTTGTAGGACATTTTACCTGGTCATTCTGGGAGTACAGGTGCCTGATGGATGTATTTGCGGCTCGGTGGACGGGAACGGTGATGATGCATACGGAGGATGATACAAGACAAGGTCATGGTTGACTTGCGATATAATCCTCGCCTCATGAGCTGTTTTACACGCAGAGTTAACATGCCATGTTCAGGCATGAATGAATAGAGTCGTAATGCTCCTGTTGTCCGACAACATTTGACTTTATGAAACAAGCCTTCCCTTCCACCGATGAATTGTGCCCATCATGACATGTCCATGAGAGGCCATAGGAGTCCGTAATCACAGTACTGGCTGTGACTGAAGCGCCTCTGGCGCATCCTTCTCACAAAGTATGGTAACAAGACTTCTTCCTAGCCCCTTGAATGCTTCCCGTGGTATCTCGATATGTTGGACTGCCTGAATGTAGCAAGACGAGGCGACACACAAAACGCGGGGGAATTTGGATTAATTAGTTACACCTTGATCGTCGCGGTGCACAAACCCCAGATTCTCAAGGAAAATTGCCGTTAACCTCATTCGTAGCCACCAAAATGATTAACGCACCATAATGGTTAGGCACTGCCCTACGAGGCGGGCTCTAGACACTCTCTCATCATGGTCAGTGTAAGTCAAAAGCCGGTATAACCCGGCGCCCAAGCTCGCACCATTTCCATCGGCAAGACTCGGTCAAGCCCTGTAATTTTTTTCAGCAAAATAATTATGGAGTCAAACATCGTCATTCATCAATTCCATCCTTCTCCAATTCTCCATGTGGAGTTCGGGTTATTTATTTTCTTGACATCAGTTAACTAGGTACCTACTCATGAGAATCCCGGTGCCGGAGCCGGAACCGGGAACTGAATCGTGCATATGTTTCCCCAGAAAGAGAAGGAAAAAGGAGCCTCATAACAACTGACTGAGAGTAGACGCCGGTGGAACACTACGAAACTGTAAATAGAATCTTCTCAGGTCCCGGTATAGGTACAGAGGAAGAGGAAGAGCCGGGCCCGGGTATGAGCCGACTGGAAAACCCCTGGAAATAAACCAAGAGAGTAGTTCGTGAGAAGACGGGTTCTACAGGTGCCAAGGATTGTACAACGCCTGTTGACCAGGGCAAGTGGCATGTTATGTTGCATACTTGTCATGACACCCTAGAGACATGGCGAGACATCACGGTAAAGACTCATCACAGTTCAGGCGTAGTTAGATGTAAAAGTATAGACTTTTTTCCCTCTGGTATTGGATATTTCTACCAAAAAAAAAAAAAAACAACTCCTTTGCTTAACGCCGTGGTGCTCTGGTGCCCCTTGCTTGCTGTTAAAGCTTCGCAGGTAGGCCTCCAACTATACAGAAAGAAATGGCGTTGACGCCAGTCGAGGACAAAAAGCACGGAGTTCGCAACGTTCTCCGCAGCCGGGGGGGTATTCTCTATGTAAAAACCCGACTTATTTGCCTTTTCCCGTTTTCTCCCTCTTTCGTGGTGCATATACTAGCCCCTCGTTTCATATGACGCTCCTGGCGGCATAGTACCGTAGTGCCCTAAGTGGTTTCTCGAACTGAACTGCTGTTGGAACCGTGGTCCTGTTCTGCATGTCTCGACGCGAGGGTTTTGCGTACCCCTCCCTGAAATGCACAGTGAAGTTTGATCACTATGTGCATGGTCACTCGGCGTCCCCGTATACTATGTCGTGCAGGATATGTGCTCCAGGCAGTAGAGTAGGCTCTGGCTCTCGTTATAATCTGCACGTCATCGTAGGCATTCATTCGTTCATCCCGTCTTTCGTTCTTTTCATCCCACCGCTCCACCTATAACTCCTCGCCTGTGGCGGGAGACGTATTTAACCGAAGAGAGCAGCGCCGCCGGACTCGATAGCCTCAATCTCAGCGGCGTTGAGGGGAGCGCGGTGGAAGCGAGTGGGGAGCTCAGAGACGTCAAAAGCAACGCCCTGGGGAGGCTTGACGGAGCCGAGGGAGGCAGCGGGGGTTCCGCCGAAGCCAGACTTCTGGAGAGGACCGTGCTGCTGGACGTGGTCGCGGTAGGAGCTGAAGGACTTGTGGGTGGTGGCAGCATCGCCGTTTCCGTAGCCGGACCAGGACTCGGGGAGCTTCTCGACTCCGGAGGCAGGGTGAGGCTTGGGGGTGTGGTCGACATTGGCTGTGGACGACGGTGTTAGCTTGTGCCGAGGGGAAGCAGACGGTGTTGCTTTGCTCAATACCAGCGGGTTGACATACAAGGAATGGTTCGGGGACCGAGGAACTTGATGAGAGGAGTACGCTCAGCGTGGACAGCAGCCTGTCGGAGGGCTCGAGTAGCAGAGAACATTGTGACGGTTGTTTGGGTGGTAGGACGGGATAGTTCGGTAGATATTGATGAGGTCGAAGAGTGAAGAGCGTGCTGCTTGCTAAGATGAGAGATGACAAAGATGCAATGCAATTGGATTGAGGAGAAGAAGAGGGAAGGGTTAAAGTAAGAGACGAACGTGGGAGAGGGCGCGATTATGTATTTGAGGAATTTTTTGGGTTGGATGGGATGGAGTGAATGGAAGCCCGTTAGTTAGCTCAGACCAAGGTAACTCTCAGCCAAGCCCAGTCCAGGTTCAGGCTGTACCGCGCCGAAGCGTACCTATGGTTCTGGTAACGCACACACCCACGCGCACCTACGCACAGAGACTCCCGTCAGGTCACTTACAGGGAACGTCCCTAGGCAGCTGCTAGTGGCTTCTGTTAGTGGCAGTCCCGTCAAAATGGCGCGAACTGGGCCCAAGCGAGCCAAAAAGTTGGGAATCCACATCCACCAGGACCAAAAAAAAAAAAAACCTCGACACGACCAAGAGAGAGAGAGAGAGAGAGGGAAAAAACAGGCCACAGTTGGTGGCATTGAGCTGCATGTCCACAGAACCACACGTTACCCACACCTAGAAATTAGAAACAATTCTGCCCAAACGAAGTAAAAGAGTGGGATGAGTTTGTTGACTTTCCCTCTTCCCCTGTGGCAAAGCAGAGACATCCAACGATAGAGTTGCCCAAAGACGTGGGATAGTCGACATGGGGGCCCATGGATGCTACAGCTACGTACAGCAGGGCCAAAGACTCCGCTACCTCGCATGTGCATTCACTTGCATTTTGCCATAAGAGGTAACGAGACAGGGAGACCAGATTTACTTGTGACAGCCTCCGATGGACGGCTTCAAGGAAGTTGATCATAAGCCGAGAGAAGATGGTGATCATCCCTCCACAAAGCCCATCTTGCATGAGTCGAGACAAGTCGGCCATTGATGCCGTCGGCGGATATACCGTCCTGCATTACAACACACCAGCATTGGATGTCTGGGGTTAACGACCGGAGTTGGACGGAATGGCGTGATCTATCACCTTGAATCAACGGGGTTAAGCAGCCGCCTTCAGGACTACAGCTTATTCACCTTGAGGTCAAAGGTGAATGGGAAGCCAAAGCCAAGACAAATCCCCGAACCGATAACTCCAGGCACCGTAAGCAAATTCACCGGCATCCTCAAACCGAACCGAAAGTTGGAGTAGCTAATAACTAAATGCCCAGCTGGATGCTCATCACTACTGCCCCAAACTCCGAACATGGCCACCATCTTGACTGCAAGTTTACATCCCGAAAGCACACACACACACACACACACATTGATAATCAATCTACCATTTGCCGTCTAGAACATCATGGCACTTGGTTGGAGAAGCTCCCCCCCCTTTCCGCCCCAGGCTTACCATTCATTTACCTCCTTCGCCTTTCCTCCGGGATTGGCAGCAGAAACTCAAGAGGTTCGTTTGCGCGGGGGAACACATATTGCCTTTTTGGGAGAGAATGCTCGTCTGGGGCACGGCGTCCGGGGGAGAATTTTGATTGTGTGGTTGGTGGAGGAGGTGGGTAGACTAGAGACTACCTAACCTTAGAAAGCGGACAGATGGGCGCGTCTGCGAGTGATGATCATTTCTCAAGGCAAGACGAGGCTGGAGGGTCTTGTCCTCTACTGCCCTAAAAGCTAAGGCCACGTCCATGTCATTGCTGGGCCCTACCTACGTAATTGAGGTGCTCCTCCCCCCTGGTCCGGGCTCCGAACGCGAAACGTTGTTGCACTGGGTGAGTTTAGCTGCCGCTCTATGCGGAGCGGAGAGGAGCGGAGGCACATGGTCCAGACAGAGCTAATGTAGTGCCTAAGACGCCGACATACAAGCGTGAAAAGACCAGCGTTACAAATTGGAGAGAGGGGCCAGAGGAGGGAGGTAATACGGGGGGAGTGGTAATGCCGAATAGCGAAGGATTCAGCGAGCATTGAAAATCATCTTGATTGATAATGGCATTCCGAGTTACTATCATAGACTAGGTACTCAATCTGTTTACTACTTACGACGGGACTCAAGACTATGACAGAATGAGGATAGGTGGACTAATAATAAACATTCAATTACATGATGTTCAAATCGTAAGACGTGGCATTCGTCCCCCCGCGGTCTTTGGTCTTTGCAGTTGTTGTGATTGATGCTGTTGAAAAATAAAAAAGTTGATATCTCTGAATCAAGATGGTGTTTTGACCAATCCCGTGTCGAGAACAGGCTATGACAGATTCAGATTACATGTGGTTTATGAGTAAAAAAAAGAAGAAGAAAAAAAGATACGTACTCAGCCTCCACTGTCCTGTCTGAGTCGCATCTCCCGTCGTGTCTGCGGCTGGGGAAGCATCGCTAATAATGGATTTGGTAGGAGAGCCCGAGATATGCAACGAGATGTCTCTTCATTATTGATGGATGTTGTTGTACGGAGTATAATGGCTGTTATTGTGAAGTTCGTGTTTGTAAAGGTTTATCTGATTGATCATTGACGACGTAGGTATGGGCAGCTAATCCCAATGCTCTTCTCTGCAGGCAAGACTACTAGTTCTGGATAGACAGACTCTTGAGGTGGAATTGACCTCGCGTACTACTTCCAAAGCCAAAAGGCCCGATCTTCCATTCATTGCCAATCTTCACTCGTTCCTCCTTCGCCTCACCAAACATCACTTTCACTGTCTTTTCGAGAGCGCTTACACCGGGATCCGGGATCGGGCGTGGAATGGTCTGTGCTTATTCTATTCCATGCATCGTGTCACTCTGGGAGCTCCCATTGGATCTGTTGGATTAGCTTATTTCGTGCCTCACAGCAAGTTCCCGCTCCTTGTCCTCTTGGGGTAATTCCGCTGGCACGTGAAATCGAAGGAGGAGGTTTCCTCTCGTGGTGGAAATTTTGGGCTCGAATCTCGACCTTTCATCTTTTGGTTTTGGACGTGATGGCACTGTCTATCCGCCATGAATGCGTTGCTAGTCCTCTTTGACATTGAAGAGAATGAATGGTAGTCAGGCTAACATTTCAATTTGTGCTATAAACAACGAATAGAATAAAAGAATGGGTGACAAGTAATTGGCCAAAGGACAACCGCATTGTTGTCGTTGCTCTCATTCAACCTGAAGCTGCCATCTTTTCATCAGATTTGGACAAATTCACAGAAATCTTTGTCTGTGTGCTGGTACCCCTCCAGACCGATAAGATGACGAGCTTCTACCAATCATATCCTCAAGTTCCCGTCTGGGGAAGCCGCCTAGCCAATACCTGACTGGTCAACCCGCAGCAACCCCCTGTAATCAACTACAGAGAGGCCGTTGCACTGAACCTATCTCAACTTACACTGAAGGCCAATAAGCATCCATTCATCCATGGATATCCAAACTCTTCAACTGTTGGGGCCTGTCAGCAGTGGATATTGACCGTCTCTGATATCTTCTGGGTGGGAAGTGAAGCGCTTCTCCTGAAGGCACCTCACGGCCATATCGCGTGCTGGCTTCTTCAATTTTCCCGGCAAGAAGATACAACCTCCCATCGTAGACCGGAACACAAAGCGCCGGAGTGAGTCCCAGAAGCTCTCTTTAGCCTCGGGTGTGCAACTATGCTCAGTGTTGGTGCCTTTTCCTAAGATACCATAAAGATGGAGAGCCATTTCGCGCTGGGGTGTGAATTGATCGCCATATAGAGGACCGGGAAAATGTCAGTGAGCCATTCGAGCTGAGGACCGCCTATTGGCTCACTCAACTCAAAGGAGCAATAGATATCGAATGATCTAGGTAGCCTCTGTAGCGTTTTTTCTTCAGGGAGGATGATGCAATAGAAAATGGAATTGCTTTGGATCGTGGAAAACCAGGGTATTCGAGGTTAGGATTGGGAGAGCCTCGCTGTAAATACCATTAGATGGAAACTTTGTCAATGCCTTTCTGGCGAGCAATACAATAAGAGAGGGGAACTCGAACTTTTGGAAAGTCAAAATAAGATTCATTTCCTCCAGACGTTGCCCGGCCTTTGACAGGAAGCGAGACTCATCGGGCACTCGAGGAGGTGAACTCTCATCGTATCTGCGGTAGCGCCAGCAACCCGTCGGTCCAGGATGACAGAAACAATTCCCCGACTCTTTGGATTCAAAGAGAGCAACGCGAACTCTGGAGCGATCGAATGACTCGAAATATGTACACCAGCGAAGCTTCCAGTTGAGCTTCGTGAACAGGCCTGATCTCTTCCGACGGGACTACCACTGTGTGCAGAACCTAGGCTCCATGACCAGATAAAGCGGAATATAGCCAGTAGAATTATAAATACTGATCAGTAAATGATGTCGGATTGACTTACAAGTGAGGGTCGGTTTTAGGTATGGTTCACATTGTTCTTAGAACGAGAGGACAGCCTCCAGTTCGAATGAATAATTTGCAAGCTGCATTATAGAGAACCACAGAAATGATGAAACAGTGGCTTTTACAAAGAAATATTAGGGTTCACGATCTGGCGCATGTCGTTTGATGTGGTTGGTATGTTTAGAGCTGAGGTAGTGGTTTTGAAAATCCAGATGCAGCATGAAAGTCGCCCCTTAAATGACTTGCAGCGGGCCTGGCTCGAATTGATGGTATGACAGAAGTTTTTAGTTCACAAGGAGGCTAAATTCACTAGTAAGTAATCGAAGGGTAAGCGAGCGTGGTTCCAGCAAGGTAAGTAACTGAACGTAGATACTGGCAAGGCTGGGGCTGATTTCCAGTGAATCTCAATGAATGAAGTAAGGCATCCTATGGGTATAAATGATAAGTAGTTCAACTCGGCATGTTCAAGCACTGGCAAACACTGCCATGGATCTACCTTAGTTACTTTATGAATGTGCCGTAAATGCTTATAATGTCTTCCCACCACCCTCTTCCTCACTCCTCTCATCTTTCTTCTCCATCCTTTCCTTTCGCATCGTATCAACACCACGAAAGTCTCACAAAGCGCCCCAACATGGGGCTGGAGTTCGAGAAGGGCAATGCCCAGAGGAACTCCTTGTTCTTTACGAAGCTATCCCCGGAGCTCAGACGGCAAATCTTCATCTATCTATTTGGAGAGTCAAAGGTGCACATCAAGTTTCTTCAGAGTAGTGAGAAGCTCAAGCGCGAGGGTCACCCTAAATATTCGAGGATCCCGGGCTGGTATCACTGCGTTTGTAGAAAAGGGTTGAAAGTGCCCATCCATCCACACTCAGAAGAAGACCACAAATGGTGTTATCTGTCAGCGGACATTATATTTACCTGCAAATGGGCGTGAGCATACTGCCTCAAATATGACGAATGCGTCCAAACTGACAGATTGCAGCTATCAGAGCGGTCTTCCTGTGCTCTATCGTACGAACAAACTCATCCTCGATAATCCTCAGGATTACACAATGTTCAGCTCTTGGTTCAACGCCAAGCAGAAATATATTCGATCAATCAGCTTGCATCTCGAATGCCCGGCCGTTTACGATGCTCACGAGGGTCTCTGCCACTTATCCACTGCTTTGCCTGAGTCCTTGCTACTGCAGCGCTTGGAAGTGCGGATGCTGCTCCCCGGTCTTGGTACTCATCATGGAAGCTCGGAGCGGGACAGTCAATTGATGTTGAGATGTCTCAGAATGTTCCTTCGGGGTGGTCTGAGCAAAGGCAAGGTTGAACTGCTCGCACTGCATCTGCCGGAAGCTATGAAAGAGATTGTGGAAGGCGATAAGCAAGTCGATGCTACAATTTGGGAAAATGTCGATTGTCAGTTTGAACAGGACAATGGCCCAGAAGGAGAGGAGGCGAAGGAGGAAGAAGACCCAGAGTCCGATGACGAGAACCACGGTCTTTATATCTTTCCCACACAAGGCGACTTCTGATGAAATGTATCAACTATAGCAGATGAGTGAGATCATTGTGATTTATATTCCAGAAGTTTACACCTGAACCCCCAGAGCCAAGTCATCTTGGTTTGATTTCTTGAATAGTGTAAGTCATGGTCACTTTTTGGCAATGCAGTGACTAAGTTGATTCGATACCCCGAGACTGGAACAAGAGGCGGTTTAAGCTCTTGTGTGTGTGATGATGTGACTGCTAATGCCGTATTTCATGAACCAAACGTGCAAGACGTGAATTCAACAGAGATGTCTCTCCTTTATCCTCTGGAACAAATTGTTTGGCAGTGCAATCCATGCTCCTTCACTGCCTCGAATTTCTTAATGCCTTGATTATGAACCATTATTTATTCCATTTTCTATGTCCATTCTGCCCTTCTTTTCCTTTTCCTTTTCTCCTTATCCTTATTTCCTTAGATCCCCTCAAAACTATCAAAACTGGAAAGTCTCCTTGAACCAACCTCAACTGGCAACTGCCAAGTCATACATCTGAAAAGGTATATATCCAGCTAAAGCGAAGAGGCTTGGGACAACTGCTTATGGCCTATGGCCTATGAAAATTGACTCAAGTATCATTCAGCTTATGGAAGCTTAGCCAAACTTTTGTGTACCTTGGGAACAACTTGCGTAAGCCTTTTCATGGAGTAAGACGAAGGTCTTCCTACCGTGATCATGCAATCATCTCGGTTGCAGCAACATACGGAGACTCCCCAGAAGTCCCTATTCTTCACCAAGCTCAATCACGATGTTAGGCAACTTTATCTATCGCGAGCTTCTTGGATCGCCTAGTACACATGTTCAAATATTTTACGAACGAGGGATCCGTGGTGTCAAGTGTCGAATGAAATGCCTTTATGGCGGAAAGATACACACCAATATACTCTTAACCTGCAAAGCGGCGTAAGCGTATTCTTATAAGTTTCCATGGTGAATAGATCGACTGACTTGGACAGCTTCAGCGAAGGAGCATACCTCTTTTATCAACTTAACACATTCCACTTCAACGTACCATCCGACGTCGTCGATTTCTTTGCATACACCCCAGCGACGATAGTCCGCCACATTCGATCTTATGAGCTCGAGTGCATGCTTGAGAATCATGATGAAGAGGCCACCCTAGATCTTGATGTGCTGACTTCGGCTTTTGGCCGCTACCTTCTGCATGACAATGTCAAGGTCAAGATTGACATTGACTTACCCCATTGTTCGTTCTATGGCTTTAGGCCCTTCACTCAAGCTTGTAAAGGAAAGACTGTAGAGGCGCTAGGGAGATTCCTCGCACTTCAAAAGCTGAGTGCTGCTGTCGTCATCATGCCTCGCGGCTTTGAGGAAGAGGTGCGGAAGATGGTAGGGACTTCAGGTCCTCACATCTCGTTTGCGTGCTGCAAAAAACCTCGATATTTCCGTAGTCCTCGCGAGTCACCGAATCTTCTGCCTCACGTATACCGTCGGGACCTTCTTCACTGTACTTCTTCCCTCCCTCAAGCACATCAGTAACACCATGAACGGCGTTCTGCAGCCAGTACTGCGTTCCGTTTGGAGCTGCGAGAGTCTTCGCCACGACGCCATCTCCGACCAGGTAATTCTCATCCAGTGTCCCCAAATATAGATCAAATATTGGGGTGTAATCGACTGAGCGCCATGCGATCGACGTGCCACAGTCACCGCAGAAACCACGGAATCGACCTGGTGAGGACATGTACTCTTTGAAGGACAGAAAAGTGTTTAGTGCTGGATTGATTTGCTTGGGGGATATGACCAGGAATTGGGCGATCAAGGAAGATGTCCACTTGCGACACATGGTACCTGTTTTATGTTTGCTAGTTATCTTGGAGTTTCTTGGTAGAAATAGACATACATTGGCATGCTGATGACTGTTCGCAAGTGAGTTAGCTCAGGTGATTAGAGATAATTCAGGCATAACTCACAATTGGTGGCCATGGATGCTCTTGGTTAAAGTTGACGGTGTACCGAATAGCACCACAGAGACATCCGCCTGTGATAAAAGAAGGGAAATCTTGGTCTTTATCATTCATGATGATCCTGTAGTGTGCGAAATATGTGATGTAGGAGGTAGAGTATATATAACAGTCGGCAACCACTGATATGAAACCCGAAAGGTCGTCGGTTTAGCAGTTACGAGGAATCAGAACCGATTGGATGATATTCCCGTGCATTCAAGACAGCCAATCATGATTTACACAGACACATGAGGACTCTGGTCAGCGTTGTACATTGGGAAATGACGGAAAAAGAAAAAGAAGGGGGGGAAAGAGATATGAGAGATGCTCTAGTTAGAGATAATTGAGGCTAATGGTCGACTCTCACAAGAAAAAGCGAACGGGGAAACGTGTTGTTGACCCCCATGATTCTGCACACAGAGAGCTGCCTAGTTACAGGATGCATCTGTACACAGGGACTCAAAGACTTCTTGGGTACCTTACTAATCTCCTTCCAAGTCCTACTACACGTCACTGTCACTCTTCATCAACATGGACATTGCTCTAACTATCAGTTGGAGAGTCATCATCTTGTTCCCCCTCAGAAGACGAGTCATAGCGGCTTGAAGGCTTGTAAGGACACATGTAAAGCTTCAGTCCTCCCTCTAGCTTTTTCGACCATATTTCCTTCACAATTTCCGAGAAACCATCCATGCCACAGCCATCAATTACACAAGTCACTCGTCCATTGCTAAGGAGCGTCTCAAGACCGACTTTGACAGCCTGGCCTGCAAGTCTCTTGCTCTCAGCAGTGTGTCTGGGCCATGGCTCCCCGTTGCTCATGTGCACATGAAAGCACAGGTTGAGATCCTGCTTCATCTTTGACAGAGTATGGCACTGCATAGTGAAACCGATGGGTTGTGGTCTCCTCGTCTTTTCGAGTTCGCTTCCATAGCAGACCAGATCGCTGAATTCGATCGATACTGGGGTATCGATGTGTGTGAGTAAATGATTCAGATCCGGAGCAATCTGATATCTTTGAAACTCCATAAATTCATTCATAGATTCAAACTCGAAAGTGTTTGTCTGGTATAGAATCTTTATACCTCGCTCAAAGCTAGCAGCAGTATGGCCATTAGAAACAGTAGCAGTGAGCACAAGAAGGATGACTTACGCTCGCTTGCAAGTAAGAATGAACCCCGACGACAAATAATATCTCCAATGTTGATCATCTTCGTCATCATGAAAATGTTGAGATGACCCTTTGAAAAAAAGAAAATGCGTCCATTGGAGCACATTCGGCCGATTCCTTGCCTTGTGCTCCCGATCGTTGCCGTTCTGCTGCGGAGCCCATTCAATACGGAGTCGGCGTTTGCCAAACAAGTTGATCAAGATCATGTCATGAATTTCAGGCGGGACATTTGCGAAAAATGGAGACTGGTTCTGCAGCAAACCATCGGTGAATCTGATAGCCATTATGCTGTATCGAGTGGAGTGTCGGATGTGAGAGAAACGTTGGAAAATGAGAAGCGGGCAGCGAAGTCAACAGATATTAATAGCTACAGGATACGGCCAGAACAACAGGCCAAATCATTTATAGATCGATCAATTAGTGGTTGGCTCAACATATATGTCACATCAACTTATGCACGTTGGTTCAACAATGATTCGCCATTTGTTGTGATTGGGTAACTACAATATGCCACCAGCCTTGTTTCTGATAAACAGCTTGCAGTCAATCACACTATTGAGTAACTTTGAGCAAGAGTGCTAGAGGCAGAGTTCTCTGAGATTGCCGTGATAAATATCCCGTTTCGTAATAGATACACAGAAAAAATGAGGGCAGATAGCCAGGCTTCTTCACTTCTGCAGCCTGCCAGGTCCTGACATCTTGGATTGCCCTCTCACCAAACTTCGTCATCCTATCTGCTTCTTCTTAGAATAGCCGATGTGTTGCCCATCACGACCATCGAGGTTGTCACGGAAAAGAATGACCGTCTTGAAAAGTGACGAAGACGAACCGATTTCCATCCCCCCCACCCCAATATATATATATATATGTATCTAATGTCTAAGAGTAGGACAAACTTTATCTCAATTATTTCACTGGACTTCTCTTGCAAGCATGAAGAATCTTAGGAAGGACCTCATAGGAATCTATCTCAAGGTCCAAAACTGTACACGCATCATTTGTCATGGTCCATAACAACCCCCAAACAATAAAATATCTTGACCACTCTATGATAATCCAGTGCGCATTGTGTACAGCTATACAGCACTCCCATTCCTTCTCACACAATTCCATCGCTTATAGTGAAAACAATAACCTCTTACGCCCTCTTGCGAACAACATCCCGAACAATGTTCCTACACTCACTCGGTTCCTCGAAAACATGCCACGCCTCAACCGGTACATTCTTGAATGCCTTTTCAAACCTCTCTAGCTGGTTCTTCTCTTCAATGCCAATCGCAGCGACGTCTGTGGCCTTGCGGATGAGTATCATCTTGACCCAGCCAGGGAATGTTCGATAACTACAAGCGAATCAGTAAAGAGGTGCTACATCAGTCCGAGCTACTTACATCTCGCCATATGCCTCGGGATCGGATTGTGTCGAGTCGCCAATGAGAATGAGTTTTCTCTTCGGTAACCACGAGTGAATCTTCTTCATGCGATCTGCCTTGTACTCCTCAGTTCCCACTGTCAGCGCCGACAATAAGCCTGCTACCGTGCGCCAGCTCGAATCTCGGAGGATCAATGTCCCTTGCGGGAAGTAGCGGTCTCGGAATTCTCGAAGAAGAGGGTACAGGTTGTACGGGGATGCCGAGAGGTAGAACCACGGAGTATCACGAGGAAGAAGAGTCTGAAGTTCCGAGTAAAGCTCTGGCATGCCAGGCACTGGTGTTGGCTCGTCGACAAAGGTGGTCTTGAGGATGCCTAGTGGATCGCTGGTCAAGGTGACTTTAATGGTGTCGTCGACATCTGAGCCGTGTTAGTCTTTACGGTCGATAGCCAGTAATCAAAGGAACACACCAGATATGATAGCCCAGCCCTCGGGTCCAGCGTAGTAAGTCTGCATGTCGTGAAGGCCTCGAGTGCCTTGAGGTACTGACGCCGTAGCATCAACTACCGACCCCTTATGAGCGTGATGAAGAGGCTCAACGCTCGTGGTAATACCATTAATGCTCGTCGGTCCCAACTTGATCTCCTTCTTCTTATGCTCGATCCAGAAAACTCTCGCTGCTTGAATATCCCAGAGGAACGGAATGATTCTCTTTTCGATAACATCGCGCTCGGCCGCGTCGTCCGCCAACCCCAACGTTGAAGCAATTCCAGATACTATATCCGCCACGCGGCACTTGGGCTCGTTCTCGAACACTGCAGCGACAAACTCGGCTTCCCACTGGTCGGTCTCAGGGTTTCGATACGCCGTGTTATCCATCAGCCACACTATGTCTCCAGCATCGACGGCTTTTCCGAAAGGGTTCCATTGTGCAAAGCGCGAGAGCCAGGCTGAAACATTGACAGGTGCTGAGAGGGCAGCAGCTTGTGTCTTTTGAAAAGCGGCGGATCTGGGATCGGGCAGATCGTGCTCGACCTTGTCAAAGTTTCGGGTTTTACGAGTGCGCAGCTGCATATCGGCTGCAAAAGCGCTAGGATCAAAGTCTGGTTTGTCCTTCATCTTGAAATGCGATAACGAGCTAAAGATATATACTATAGGACGAGTTGCCTTGGGGAGGCAAATGAGGTCTCGTGCTGTATGAGTCCTAGGGACAGTGAAGCTGCTGTATCAGGAGCCGCAAGGTCTCGTGGATGTCTAGGTCAGGTTTCAGGGCGTGAAAGTGCAAAAGGAAAATAGGCAGCGAGACAATGTTTTATGTTTCAGTAATTTTCGAGGAGGCGGTCTCATGGATTAACCTACAAGAGAACAGAACGTTCAGGGTCTCAGTCACAGGAGGAAAGTGCGCGTGTTAAGAACTTGCCAGCAACTCAGGTCTTGGCCTTAATATACGTGATCTCATACGGAGATCAAATCAATAGCGCAGGAAATTTGTTTATAGAGGCTGCGACGTGCTTTGTTTAAGGTAAGGTCTTGCTTGGACTTGTGACGTCGCTGCGTGATACTAGCGACGCCGATCTTCTAGACTTGTGGGGGTGGAGATTTACCCGCGTGGGCGCTATGCCTAGAAGAATGACCCGTCCAAAGCCAAGATTGGACCGTTTGAGTGTGGCTTGCAGTGGGCTGTGCTATTATTCTGTCAAAAACAGGAGTCGGGGGGCATTGGAGTGTGTTCATGTTGGCATCATATTTGCAGTTGACCTCTCGGATGTTGGATTTGCCAGGCAGAGAGGACCCTTGTAGTGATCGATCGAGGTTAGAGGGGTCAGATCAACTGCCGTATTACGTCACATCCTTAACTCGACTGTTGACTAGGTAGGTGTTGGACCGCGAGATATGTATAGCCAAGCCAGGAGAAGAACGGACATTAATCCTGCAGGTTAGAGTTAACCTCTTTTGTGATCAACCAACTTTAACTTAATCTCTTCCCTACCGATGTGCACGCTTCATAGTGTCCCGCTTCCTGGGAGTAGATCCAGCATCGAGCCGGCGATCTCGGGTTTGGGAGAGCCCCTTGTTAGTCCCCTCAAGGTTCGGCCCGTACGTCAAGAACGGACTTTGTGTTGTAGTCACTGATGGGGCTCACAAGGTTGTCAATTTCGTTTTGGCACTTGTACGAGAGCTTATACATGCGAAGATGCTCGTTCTCCATCTTATCAATAAACCGATTCTATCTACTCCTAAACGCCACCCATCCGTCCATCCATCCTGTCTTTAGTCATATATGCATTTCCATGTCTCTAACCACCGGGTATCAACCAATACCAATGCAATGCAATGCAATGTCAAATGCAAAGTGGAAACCAACTGATCATACACGCTTGCTTGAACTACCATCCCCCGTATAACCAGCCCTTCTTCTTCTGTGCATTGAACAGCTCGTCTTTGATCTCTTGCACAACCGCTTGGACTGCGCCCTTCATGGCCCTTTCGCTTATCGTCAACGAGTCGTAGAATAAATGGTCGTTCTCAACAGCACAGTCAGCCGTGACCTTGTCCTGATCGATAGTGAGATCAGACATGTCAGCCTTGACACACGAAGTCCAGACATCGGCGAATCGCATCGTCGCGTTTGGTGACATTGTACCACGTCCTCGCAGATCTACCACCGCTGCATGCTGCATCTCACCCTCTGTCATAGCATCGAGAAGCACCTTTCCAATGTCCACCGCCAGCCCGTTACGCATGGGGTATGGAGCTTGGATAACACGTTCGTCCTCGTATGTCTTCTTCGCCGAGTCTTTAATATCTTCGCTGTGCTCAACTGGCTCAACACTCTCGGTTCTCTTAGTCTTGGTCTTGCTAGATGCCTTTTCCTCAGAAGCCGGCTTCTGGGGTTTCTTGGTCGATCTCTCAATCCACTCAGCAACTGCAAAATCCACCTCTTGATTCCAATATTTGGTCAGTTCCGCGGCATTTCGAGTATGCTCTACTACGCTGTTTGGTACTGGTGGCGCCTGTCGAGCTTGCCACGCCGGTGTCAAGGATAGATCGAATATCATGGGCGCTATAATGCGAAAGCTCTCGAACTTGCGTTTGTCGACACTATCTAGAGCGCCGGGTGCCGTCAGCTCTCTGATCTGGGTTTCGGTCGCATTCGTCCAAAAGTCCGAGTACGCAATGGAAGTCGGGTCTAGTGATCGTTCGTAGAGTATTTCAGCCTGGTCAAGGATAACTCTCGCCATGTCTGTAATAATATCTTCCGACTTCGTCCTTGGCATTGCGGCCATGTTCCAGACTTCCCAAGTGCCGAAGCTGAAGATCCAGAGCGTTTCGCGTGGGGGGATTTCAGGTGGTGGCATCGCGAGGAAGGTCTTCACTTGGCTGGCTAAGTCAGGGACTTTGTCTGGAGTTGGGTACTGTTTGGAGATGAAGTTGTAGTCGAAGGCTGGCTTCTTCTTCACGTCTGTATGTTTTGTGATGTTGAGAAGATCCTTGACGCCTTTTTGATGGAGTTCGTTGCTGATGAGGCCCCTGTTCGGTCGACCATCTGGTACCAATGAGAGATAAGAACTGCAGTTAAGCTAAGTTAATGGTATATTAGTAAGTAGGGTCGACATCACAAGATCGAACTTTGGCAACTAACCTCGTCACATAATTCTTCGGTCCATGTTCTGTGTCGGGGATCTTTGACATTGCCCACGACATCGGGGGATCCAAACACCACGATCCTCAAATTTGATTCAGGTTCTGGCTCATGTCTTCCCCAAGAAAATAGTCCAGTGGAACCATTTCTGAGCTGTCCGCCTGATAGTCGATTTGGTAATACGCCAAAGATCAGAAAGGTGGTGAAGAAGAGGGCAGCGATCTGAAGGATCAGCTTAGGCGCGCCGCGCCAAACGCGAGTAGAGCAAAAGATGACAACATTCTTTCCACCGAGTCTACCCATGACAGAATCTTGACTGTCACGACGACTTGGGAGTTGATGATCGAGCTCTGCTGGTGATTTCCATCGTGCTTGAAACATGATGCGCGAGAGTCGAGTAGAAGCGACCAACAGGAGAAAAAGGCACGGCGATTTCAAGTACTGATGTGGGCCATGGGCAAAATGTATATGTCGTTTGGTGTTGATGTGGCTGAGAAATTGTAGATAGAAATAGGATAGGTCTAGAACTAGAAAATGCAAATCCTATGCCGAAGATCCGGTGGTGGACGCCCAATTCGTGGAAGTAGCCTCTCGAAGTGATTGAGTGCACGTTTTGAGAGGAATGTTGCCGGTGGGAAGCAGTGATTAACTTTGAGCGAGGCGTTTCGAAAGCAGGACAGGATGAGAGGCTAGAAACGGCTTCAGGGGAGAGGTTGTAGAGTGTAAAGGCTACCTATGATAGGGTGTTATGCGAGGGTCAAGAGTCTAAGACGAGAGAGTTTTGATGTTGACAGGAGCAACTCCTAACTTAGAACAGGCCGAGTTCAGAGGCTATTGCGAAAATAAGGCTGCACTGTTAGCAGTTAAATAAGATGAAATGACAGAATTTATGGGAGAATAAGCGATTGATTTATCAGGGATACGCCTCGGGGTCGATAAGTCTAACGGTTACGCTTCTACTTAAACTAATAAGTGCAGTATCCGTAACCTCCGATGGAATAACTTGATGCAACAGTCATTGCCAAGCCGACTCTCACCACAACTTTGTTGCGTGGCCAAGACCTCTCACAGACTTGGTATCGCGGGATGTGGTGAGCCTAAAGCGATTCAGGAAAGGGAGGACAAGGCAGAGACGAGAGATTAGAGGCATCCTTGTTTGGAGGGTGGATTTCCATGCGGCCAAGAGAATGAATTAGCGAATCTCATCGAATTGTGTCCCTCTCACCCTCTCCTGAATCTCTCGAGACGATTGAAGCCAACAAGAAACGTCACGTCACGGTTACAGCGGGATCCGGCCGGCGCGTCTGTACCCACATCCCGGTGCCGTCTTCCGGCCTCGTCATCCGTGGCAGCAACGTTGTTCTCCCACTTACGGATACAAGCCGTTGTTTCTTTTGGCCCTTCTTTATCAAGTTAAATTAGTCCCAAGAAATGCGTCGTCAGCAGTGGAGTCTTAGCCTCCGCCCAGGCTCAGCCAGGTCAAGTCAGGCTACCTACGTTAGAACCGAAGCCACGGGTGAGCACAGGCCAAGAATCTCAACTTCCAGAACCTGACTAAGAGATCTATCTATTGTTGATGGTTTGTGGGGAAGTGAGTGGGTGGGTGCAACTCAGCCGTTGATCACTGAGTGATGATGTACTGCAAGTTTGGTCCAGTGTATGCTTCTCATGAGCCGCAACCGGTAATAACTCACGAGACAAACTTGATGCCTCCCAAGGTAACGATGCACCCGGTTGATCACCAACGGATATTGTATTACACATATACATACAATCATTTTGTCTTCACGTCCTCTTTCTTCGTTATTTACTGCCAAGCAATCAAACTAAGGAAATTCTACGTCATTCTTATTTCCCCACGTTCGGAGCGCTCGGTTACGCCAGATATAATTTAATAAATGTCCACCCAGTCTCCGCCGCCTGTATTTCACCAGTCAATCGACTCATGATGAGGTCTGCCCAGGAATCCTAATGCCTACAAGTCTTGGGAACCCAAGCAAAAGATCTAGTCTCTGTGTTACACTGTTTAGATAGACAAAACAGAAGTTTCAGAAAGCTATAACACTGTACCCCAAGCTTTTCCTAAACACAAAACACAGATGGATATCTTCATTCAAAGACCACGGGCCGAGCAAGCCATCGCCAAGAACCACCACATATCGAAAACGGTCTAGAATAAACGGTCCTCTCCAACAACATTCCTCACATCGGACTATGATATCTTTCATTTCCATTCGTCAATGAGAAATGAATGCCGTGATTTCGACGCCTTCAGCCCCCATACCTCCATGTCACACACTGACCTGATTGTTTGAGGCTCTCAGCTCGGCAACGCTGTATTATTAGTTCACTAAACCTCACAGCCTCGTGGCTCAGGTCAGCGTTGAAAGTTGAAGACTTTTGAAACTGTGGCTGCCGCTTTGTTTTCTTTTTCTATTGTCCGGACTCAAAAGATGACAGCTGACTGAATCACGAGTATTAACTACCCCGAGTCAAAAGAGTCATCGCTTTCTGATGCGAATGAATTGTGTCATAGACCGATGTCACGTACGCGATTAAACTTTGATCGACATTAACATTGACTTACATAATTCTCAGCAGTGTTACACAAGCCCGAAATGGGAATGTTACTCGGTGACGCATAGCAACTGAGGGGAATCGCTCGGTACGGCTGCTTATTAACCGCTGAATAGGTAGCCTCGCCTTGTCATCATCGATTCTTGTGCACCTATTCGATGGAACATGCCTGGTCGAAAGGTCAGCTCCAGCTACATGAGTCGTCTCAGATAAGCTTAATCGCCATGGCCAACACTATCGCATATCTATTCATCTACTATTGGGTATGTCACGATAGTTGGCATAGCGGTTACAAAGTTTATGTGATTAGACTCTGGGGGATTAACCTTATCGGCGTGTTGGCTGCCACCCACGTACTTCCACATCCTCTTGGCAAGTTAGACTCAAGAGCGAGGCCTTGAAATATCGTATAGCAGCAGCCCATCAGAAGCCATGTCATGGGTGATGTTGATACTGAACATGATTTCCTCCGTTGCACTAGATGGTGATTCATGCTCGGAGATTGCGACGGCGTATGTGTAAGAGCCAAGATTCTTAACGAGTAGAAATCATGTCCTATAGCAACAATGCGTCTGAGACTTCTATAGAAACAGGAACAAAGCTCAACCCCTTCGCCAAGCCGAGACCCATTGCACAGACTCTAGGCCCAGTCAGAGACTATCTCGATGGCCACTTGCACGTAAAGAGTTGAAGGGCGAGCTTGTGTAAGTGGATGTAGTTAATAAAGCTGCCCTTTGTCCACGGCAAGGGAGACTCTTTTTTAAGATGAACTCTCCCCGGACATGGCAAATACTCATCATCGAGGAAGACGCATTATTTGCGCAAATTTTGTATAAAAAAGAATTCACTCTTATTACTGCTGTTAATTAGAAGGGATACCTAGGTAGGTAGGGATTTCTTTTTATAGACTTGGCGCAAAGCCTGGTTTATTATTACTAGGTTTGCTGTAACAGAAGCCGGCCCCACTACCGACGACAAAGCTGTAGGACTAAACTAAAAGCCCTAGTTACTTGTCAAAGCTAGCTAATTGCTTGCTTGGTTCTCTCAATGGATTTATTGATTGTAACAACTGATGATACAGTCGGTTTAAATTCTCTCTTGAAAGAAAATCATTGTTGCTTTGCTGATTGGACTTGAGAAGCGGCGTCAGAATCGTATTCGAGTGGCTCATGCACGTGCAACTCACCTCATCCTTGCCCTGCCTTTCCTTGCCATTGCCAGGCTTTTGGATCGGGTCCCTTGAAACTGTAAATCCGTCACCAACCACGCATCGGGGCCAGGTCAATTAAGTTAGTCAGGTTGTCACTTTATCTCCTCAGCCTCCTCCCAACAACATCGCATCCCGTCATTTCCATCGCGGCAATCTACATCGACTATACCACCGAATTCTCCGAGCCTCTCTGCATCAGCACCAGCCTCACTCAAAACAAACATACTTCGGCTATCGCTGCGCAGCGCATTTAGAAACAAGCTTACGCTCCCTTGCTGCGCGCTATCGATACCCGGCTCTTCTCACGCCCAAAGCCCAAACAAGACACCTATCGATCGACCACTATGTTTACGTTGTCTCTTGCGACTGCGACCCCTTGAGTCATGCCATGATCGCGTTTCGATCGCCTCCTTCACCTACTGTTTGCTTCGCCCTACACTACACCATCGGGTGCTGCCCCACGGATGCGCTGCCCTTTTCTCACTACTTATCGGTTCCCTTACGCAAGCTCAAGCGCGGAAGCGCTCCCCCCCCACCCAGCCGCCGTCGACATTTTGATTCACTCTCCTTGACGCAGACCTCAGCCGGTTCTTCGGTATGCTGTCCCATTTGAGGTTCCACAGGCGAGGGCCCTCGAATCCTGCCTCGCCTTCTCCCGATAACAATCCTACTTCGCCTACGCCCGCTGTGCCTTTCTCTCCCGATGCACTCTCTCCGGAACTGCGACCGACCTCGTCGAATCCTTCTGCATTGCCTCCCACTCTACCACCCATAACCCGTGTTACCACAGAGGACCTTGGGAAATCACGAGATAGTCGTCAGAATGTTGCCACAAGCCCGCTAGATCCTCCTCGACCGCAACCGAACTCCAAAAGTTCATCTCACAAGGGATCATTCATAGGTGGTGTCGCTCTGAGAAAATACCAGCGGGACTTGGAGGCTCAGGCTCTTGAAACTGCGGACAACGGAAGAGGGTCTAGTCTGCATGGACAACATTCAGCATCTCAACCGTCATTGACCTCAAACAGCGCTCCTTTGCGACCATCGCCACAAGTTTTGAGGAATACAAAAGCTGCATCCTCTTTCAGTACCCCTACAGATCTTCAGCACTCAGCTGCTGCACCTACCGGGCGCCGTCCTGCAGGTACCCGACTGGTTACGGAACTCCCCTCGCTTACACAGACAACAAGCAACACCGAAATCCTCAAGCCCAAAAAAGGGTTACCATTTCTCAAAAAACCAATGTCGACCTTATTGATGAGGCGCAAGAACAGTCAGCATGCTCCTGACTTGCGCCCATTACCCTTGGCTCGGCGCGGTGAGGATCCGATGTATGACCCTCGTATCATGGGAACTCGAGTCCATGATTTCAGTGCCCCGCGGCCAAAGAGGAACGCCGTAAACAGGGAAACAGCGCAGCCTCCTTTTGTCTCGCCAGTCCCTAATTCCGCTCCCCTTCCCACCCAAGAGAGGTTTCTGAACCCAGCTGCCAGTCAGGCAGATGAGACTCCTCTCTCGGCCACACCTTTAACCCAGCGAGAGCCTAGTAATGCTTCCGAGTCCATTTACTCCCAAGATTCCAGGGCACTCAAGATGACGCCAAGCACAGCATCTACTGCTGCTCAAATCCCTGCGGCAGAGCTGGCTGACCTCGCCTTGTCAGATGCGCCTCCCGTGCCTCCTAAGGACAACCCTCCCATCTCGGTTCAGCCAAGGTCGCCTCAAGCATCACGGTTGATTGATGACGAAGCATACATCCATGAGAGATCCACTTCACCTCGGGCTGGGAGATCGAGAGGTCCCTCACTGTCTGGATTGTCAGGCAAGGACATCCCTTCTGCGATCCCTCGACATATGAAGAGTACCTCGTCAAGGTTTAGTTTTGATATGATTGGCGCTGCAAAACAAGAGAAGCTTCTTGAGGACAGGCATCGACAACGAGAGCTCGAGAAGAAGACGGCCGAACCCGCCGTAGCTCGAGACTCGCGTTTTGATGATTTTGATGACGATGGTTTCGATTACGATGCAATGATGGAAGACGATGGCTTCGAGGAAGATATTCCTATGGTCGGTGATGACTATGATGATATGGACGACGGCGGAATCAACGATAAATTCAATGACCATATAGGCAACCATCTGGACAATAACATGAACAATACGCTGGGCAGAAACGTTGTCGACGAACAAGACGATGAGCTTGATCCAGACAACGATCAAGAGAACTTCTCTGGCTTCGTCTTTCAACGATCGGGCCCTACATCGTCGTTGACGAGCCCGCGCAGCGCAGGTTTCTTGCCCACCCCGAGGGATGCAGAAGGCAATCGGATCGGATATGCTATGAGTCAATACACGCCGAATATACTTGGAGAATTGTCTCCCAACCTCCCTCTCGACCAACAACTGAATCAAGAGATGCAGGCAGGTGGACTGGGGATCCAAGGACTGGACGTTCCGAGAGTGCCCAGTCTGGAGAATGAGGCTGCATTCCTGAAGAACCAAGACTTGCCACCAATCGTTACAGGGCGCCAATTAAACGATGACGAGCTCTATTATGATGATGGGATGCTAGAATTCGAGAGGAACGAGTTTGCTGAGGATCTTGCTGCCCCTCCAGAATGGGATGATACTCCTTTTGACGAGTCGATATTTGACAACAATGATACCGATCAATTCGGTCGACCGATCGCAGGGGCATTTGCGAATGCATTGCAACGATCCGCGAATCAAGATGAACCGAATCGATCGTCAGATATGACAGCGCCGTTCTCTGCGGGTTCAGAGATGTCCAAGACTACGGCCCATACATCACTCAGTGTTGAGGAAAAGCAACCTGTTGAGCCTGAGGCTGTCCACGAAAGCCCCAAGCTTCATTCACCTCATGGCCCTTCAGCTATGGCCCCTTCAGCATCACCTCCTAACAGTGATACCATGGCGGCTTACCAGGCTGCTCTCGTTGCCGCAACTTACAAGGCAGCAGCATCAGGCAAATTTCAACGGAGTTCTTCGCCTACAGCTGATGAAACCATTCTATCTGAACCAAGCCAATCGCCTGATACACCAGATCGCGATGACTCTTTTAAGCAGGACGACTATGAGAGCTTTGATGATTATGGTGGCTATAACGATTCTTATGAAGACATGGCCGATTTCGAGCTCGATGACGATGCTATCATTGCTGAGGCCAACGCAAGCGCTCTAGCTAATGACTGCGATGGGTGGTATGGCCAGGAATTCAACTTCTACTCCGCCCCAGCTAGCCAACAACAAGGACCCGAGTTTGAGTATGCTAATGGTGGCTTCTTCGGACCCAAGAATGGGTTGGACCGCAGCACAAGTGGACGCATGATTTCAAGGGAGCCGAACTTGACACCTATCACAGAGAGGTCGGAGTATTCCAACAGAAACTCGTTCATGAGCCTTGGTATGCCCGGGTTCAGCGGAACACCGCTGCAGAGTCCTGGTCTAGCCCAGCTTGCTCTAATGGGTGATCGCGGCGACGAGATGACATTGTCCGCCCTGCTCCGTCTTCGATCCAGGGCTTGGGGTGGCTCTCAAGCCAGTCTTGTGTCTAGCCAGAATGGGTCCCCTCGGTCAGAAAGGGGTGACCTATCAAGTTCGCCATGGGGTCAGAGTGTTATGAGCCCAACGACCTTCCATACTCGAAAGAATTCGGTCCTATCCACCATTAGTCATGACTCGGACAGTGTGAGCGCATCAGGAAGCCCGACTTTGACAGGTGGCATTCCCGGTTTGACTTTGTCTCCTCCTCCTGTCCCGACACTGGCCAAACTCGACACCAGCGTTAGAGGGGATGTATCGGTAGGGCCTCTAAATATTAGCAGGCCCCCATCAAAGTCTTTTGACAATCCTATCTCTCCGATATCCGATGCTGAGAGCATGCCGGCCTCGGCAATGGTGAGCCCTCTGGAGACTTCGAACAGGGTCAGCATGGTTGAACCAGGCTCAGCTCCAAAGCGTCCGGGTATAGGACATCGACACAAGGGCTCAGCTGATAGTATATCATACGTCAAAGAGGAAGACAGTGGAGCTACGCGCTGGGTCATGGAACGACGGCGCACAGGGGAATCTGGCCAGATTGAGATTCTCGAACGAGAAGTTCTTGAAGGGGGGCGAATATAGGATATGATTCGCTGTTGTTGTTTTATGAATGACTACTTAGATACGACCAACGGAAAAGGAACAAACTGATACAACACGGCATGAGGAGTTTGGATTGGGCTTGGATATACATAGTAGACACCGGTGCGAGCCGTAGGCCCTCGGAAATAGGAGCCTAGGCCATGGACAAAGAAGGGAGGAGCACAAAAGTTATTAATGGTATGGTGTTGCGGAGCTATACATGGGGGACACAGGCACTTGTAGCTTTTGTGTTGTTATTGTTTGTATATAATTATGGACGATGAGAGTCTCAGTCATACCTAGGCCAAGCATCAAAGATATAACAGAGCGTACAAAAA